GTGCCGGCGGCTGAAGGTCGGCACAGGAAGAAGCACCGAGCGCAGGGAAGGACAAGGGGCCACCAAGGGTGTCCCAGCGCCCACCCTGCAGTACGCTGCTTTCGGAGATGGGACTAAGAAACATTATTTCATTTGAACCTTTACACACCCATCTACATGTGGGATAGTTTTTAAAGGGATCAGAGTCCTGACTAGAAAATTTTTTGGGGTCCACACAAGAGAAGAGGCTGAACCCCCCCCCAGGAAGACCCACAACAACCAGGGGAGATGGCCCACACGACAGGCGACAGCCCCGCGGCAGAGGTGCCAGCTGGGAAACCTTCTCCACCCAAAAGTTTGTTTCTTCATTTCCTCTCCAGAGTCATTTCCAGGCAAAACCAAAGCCACAAGTCCCAGCTCTACAGCAAGCTCCACTTCAAAAACTTCTCCACTTTTCTGCTTGCACAACCTTCCCAGGGAGACGGCGGAGCCACCTGAGCACCTCTAAAAACAGCCCGGAGTTTGCCGGCTTTTCGGTCATCTTTGGCACGCCGATTGCCATGGTAACACTGAGGATGCGATTCCCCTTTCTGCCCCACGCAGGAAAAGGCTGGTCCTGCCTGCCGGCACGCAGGGACGGGTGCTGCTGAGGTACCCAAACCTCTATCCTCATTAGTGGTGGGGGGGTGGTGGGGCTGGGGGCTCCCACACCACTGGCAGGGACCGGGCTGTGCTAAATCCCATAGGACAGAGCCTGCTCCATCTGGATGCAGTGCCAGACCCCAGCACTATGCTTGGAGGCGAGGTGGGGATTCGCGTGGCCCCCGTGGTGCCCCTGGCCACCGGCCACCCTCATGGCAGTGCCATCGTGGGGCTCGCCACCTCCATGGAGACAGGCTCCAGCAAACCCCATCGGCTAGCTGCAAATGCCGATGAGTCAGAATTGCACTTGGATATTCCTCTGCATGCGGAGAGGATTTTGATCCTTAATTATCACCTAATTCACCGGGGTTGGCTGCTGGTGAGGAAACCTCAGCTGCAAAGTACAGTCTGTGCAGAGCGTTGGAGAGCCTAGGAACCTCCCTGCAAAGAGGCAGCTCCGATGGGTGCGAAGGCGCGAGATGGATGTCTCTGATGGCACGAGGAGACGCCAAACCCTGGGGACACTGCCCCTGCATGAGCAGATGAGGCTCCGCAGGGGGTTTCGCTCCCCACAGAGCACCCGGCTGGGAACTCGCACAGGGCAATCGCACTGCAGACGAGCCCGAGGCTTCCCTCGCCTCCCTGGAAAGGTGCCCTTTGAAGCTACTTTGGGTAATTGGCTGTTAACCGACCTTGCCAGCAATCTCCTGAGCTCCCCGTGGAGCTCCCAAGACAGAAACGCTATCTCCATTCAGCCACGTCCCCCCGCCGAGCGAGGGGTCCCTGCGCATCACCCTGGGGTCCTGCAAGCCGGGTACAGGGATCCGTGCATGGCGTTTAGCTTTGGAGGGGGGCAAAGGAGCCCCATGTGCTGAGCCCTGCGCGACCCCACAGCCACGCCTGGCTCCCTACAAAGTGCCTGCAGCGCCCGGGCTGGCGGGCAGGAGCGGGGACGTGCTAACGAGGGATTTCTGCAGTGAGAAGGGCAAATCCAGGCCGGCCCACATACACATTTCTGCGTGTCCCCCTGCCATTGAGCATCCCACGCCTCCACCCCACGCCTCCCTGCTGCCTCCTGGGAGTGGGCGAGCGCAGTCCCTCCCCGGGGAGAAGCAGCTCCCAGGGCCCCAAAAAGGTGGGGGGTCAAGCCCTTCTGCTGCCTGGTGCATTTCAGCAAACAACTCAGCCGAACATCTCTCTCCAAACTGATTTCCACGCCTGAAGAGGCTGAGAACTTCAAACCCTGGAGTGAAAAACTAAAAAAAATACCCACTGATAATAATAATAAACCAGAGGCTTTCCAGCCTGACAAGCCTGCAGCACTTTCAGCATGACTAATATTTTCCATGTGAAATAATAATCCGCGGCGCTAAATTTCTCATCTCTATGCACATTGCAGACAACAGGTGGGCTCTGCCCAAATTCACCTCTGAGCAGGACCTTTTATAAGGCAGCTTTGTGCTCTCGTCATGGGGAAAATAATAAACTCCCAGGGTACCTGCAAATAAGGAAGGTCAGATTCCAGCCACGGAGCTGACAAAGCTCCGAGTCCTCGGAGCAGGATGAAAAATCCTCCTTTGTTTGACAGCAAATCTTACAGCAAATCCTCCTGTGCAGCGGTCCCAGATCAGAGAGATGATGGAGCGGCTGGGGCCGCCCAGCACCCTCCCTGGGCAGGATCCGTCTGCAGGCTCTGGGTCACCCCCTGCCCTCACCCAGGTGGGATGGTGGCCAAGACATGAAAACCTTTACATTCGCAGGGGTCTGACCCAGCAAAGCAGCACTTCCAAGCCCTCACAGCCCCACCACGCTGCCCCTGCCCACCTCCAGCCCCACACAACGTCCCCCAGCCCCTGGGAGATGCTGCCAGGAGATGCTGAATACGCAGACACTGAACCAAACCGAGAGACTAGAATAAATACATACAAACGCTCTTCGTTTAGTTTGACAACAATTCACGGATGCCTCCAGCTTTCTTTCAAAAAATCAGCCTTGAAAGAGGCTCAGACCTTTCCCAGGGAGATTTTCTCAGCAAGATGTGACCGCAAAGCCTTAACGTGTGACCGCAAAGCCTTAACATGTGCCTCTGAGAGCTGGGCACGAAGAGGTTAAAACTAAATAACAGCACCTCTGCAGGCAGGAGCCCAGCAAGTGAGTTATGAAGTTAATGATAAAGCAGGACCACGCTCCTCACCGGCTATTCCAGCCCAGGCTCCCTGTAAATCAAGCGTTGGTCACTGTGGGGGTGATGGATGTGTGCAGGGCACGCGTGCAAGTTATAGGATTTGGTGGGTAATAACTCTGCCGCAAGCAGCCGCCAGGACCGTCCTGTGGGGCTGGGGCATGGGGGTCCCCGTGAGCTCCCCTGGGAAATCGTCACTGGGATGGGGAGGGATGCCTGGAGTGGCCCTGAAGGGAAGGGACACGTGTGTGTGTCCCCCTCCCCAGTGCCGGCCTCAGCACACGGCTTACCCCCCCCCGGGGCCCTACCGTAGGGTCTTGCGGATCATGTCCTCATCGGTGATGCCGTAGTAGGTGAGTGTCTCATTCCAGGTGGGGTTCAGTGTGTTGCGCAGCGTTTTGGTTCTCAGCTTATTCGCCTGGAAAAGCAAAGGAGACGGTGGTCAGCGGGACCTGGCCCCAGGCGATTGTTTGGGCACCGATGGGGAGGGAGGCGGGGGGAAGAGGAAGCACAGTTTGGAGATGAAGGGGTAATTGGTGCTGTCACCCTTCTGCCCCAGCGCCATAACCCGGCCAGTCCTCGACGGGGTGGCCCAAATCCACCCCGACCGTAGCGATAAGCAGAGGGGCAGAGACACGGCAACTCACTGGCTCATTTGCAAAGCAATCCAACCCCGCATCCCACATGCTGGAAACAGCCAGCAAAATGGGAACCTTGGCAGAGCGCAGCGAGAGGATGGGGATTTCATTTATACAGCAGGAGCGAGAGAGAGAGGGGGAAAAAAATGTCTTTTCAGGTTCATTAAAAAATACCAATTTGCTGT